CTGCGCCTGCCATGAAAATTGCACTGCAAGGTCCACAAAATACTGCAGGGCACAAAATCTGCACTTCACGGTCCACAAAGCACTGCACCTGCCATGATTTCTGAAAACGAACCACATGTACAAGAGTCACGATTCACGGCACCTGTCACAAAATTAGGGCGCGTCCAAGATCACCACCATATCAAAAGTGCGGCACCTGCCACGAAATCTGCATTTCAAAGTAGAACCGCTCCGATCCCTTCCCTGTCATGAAAAGTCGACTTTGGACCAACAAAGCATGAGGTTTCCCTTGCGCTTGCCACGAAAAGTTACCACCATGTCCGAAAATGCGCACGGCACCACAACGAGAGCGCAGTCGTCACGAACACCCGCCGTGGCCAGCCAGATTTTGCGAGCCTGCGCACTCAAAGTGCACTTGCAAGATGCATGAATGTACTGTAAATGGCAGCGAATTGGCCGGACACGGATGCGCGACACCTCGATTAGAGGCCCTTTACACTTACGGTAAGAACCCCCTAGTGTGACCACACCGTTTGGGGAACAAACTGCACCACCGATGACTCTCCAAAGCACCGTGATACAATGTTGCCGCTTTCACTATCACAATCCCAGGTGGTGCAGTTCACATTTTGCTGGCAGTAGCTCGACTTAGTTTGCATCCCACACTGCTAGAACCTGAGGCTCATCCTGAACTTCTTCCTTCTCGCGCCATGGCAACCAAGTCACAAAGTCCAATGCTTTAAGCCTATCCAAACCAATTTTGTTCTTTGGGATAGACTCACAACCATTCTACCTTCATAAATCAACTGTACACCTCAGAAGTACTTCAAAGTTTAGTATTTTAGGATGAACTATACACGTTGCTAAGTTGGAGGTTCGCTTCAAATTTTTCCCGCACTTGTTTCGGACCTAGTCGTGAACTAGATGCCCAATAGGCCTCTTGGGTGGCCCTGTTTAGCACCCTTCACTCACTGCCGAGCCGAGTGACCTGACCCTGCCTACGTGTGGCCAAGCCAGAGAAACCCGGAAGCTTCGTTCGGGAACCACATGCCGACGTTCGCTCTGGTTCAATAGGGAGTCAGTCAGGTGGGCCGGGTGTTTTGACTCCGCGGTCGACATCAACCGATCCACAAAGTCGGTCTGGACGGGAAGAGTGCGGGTTGACACAAAGTGATAGAGTTCATTGGCATAGTCAAGCAGCAGGAGGGTGGTTCTAAATTTGTTCAGAAGACAGAGGCTACTTCCATGTGGCATAATTTGGAGGGATAGTAAACTTTCTCCACAGACTTGTTGACTCCTCTGAAAACTGACATGGACCTTGAAATAGACGTTTGGAAACTGATTACAGAAACCAGCATCCAGGTCAGAACCTACTACTCCAATACCGACCACAGGGGGGACATCCTTGATGAGGGGCATCTACATAGCTTGGAAGAGCCAAACATGGCATTTGCCCACTTGTGGGTTCGGAAAAAAAATGATTCTTCACATGGATACCTTTCTACTTCTATTTCTTTCTTCGAGCACAGGGGTGTATATACTATATTACAATATATATATATATCGTGTTGTATATTACTATTACTATAATGTATTATATTATAGTAATTATGTTATGTAGACCTGATGGACGCGGGGTGGTCCTGTTAACATCTTGGAAGGTGCGACCGCTCGCAACTTCAGGTCGCTGATTCTGATTTCCGCATCAGTTGAATCAGTTCCCACAGCAGATGATAACCACGATATGCGCTGTTGTTGTGCTTCGTAGTAGCATCATGTGGGCGTTCAAGAGTTGCCTAGTGTGTTCAATCAACAGAGGGCAGAGCAACCAGCTTCACAAGTTAAAAGCTAATATAAATTACTTTACTAACTTAAAGTTTCTATACGTAGCTACAAAAGGACCTCATGAGGTTCGAGTCTTGGCAAACTTGCTCTTGTGGTGAGAGAGAAGTAGGATCGCACATTGGAAGCAGGCCAAGATTTTTGCACATGCATGAGAGCCACATTGGAGCTCAAAACGTTGCAATGTCTACTGTATAATAGATACTATCAAGGCATCCAAAACAGATCAAAGTTGAGGACTGGGTGTCGGACAGGCTTGCTGGTTAATTTTGAATCTGCCTATATGACGAAAGATGCTGCCAGCGCCGTATGGATCAATATTGTTCGGTCGTGAAGACTCGCAGGGTTGCCGATTGGTAAAAGTCATCAAGCTAGCTTGCGTAAGCAACTACAGTAATTACACATCATGACATGGAAGCCATCAAGCATCTTGTGGGTTGTAGAAGTTCCTTAAGGGTCGTAGGTATCGGGCCTGCAAGGGCTGGAAGGAACAGAGAAAGTCGCGGCGTGTCCTTTTCATGTCCGGGATGTAATTGTCTTCAGGCGACGTGCATGGCTTCTTTTTTCTCGCGGCCTCGAAGGTTGAAGTCCTTGTGGAAGTGCTGCGAGGCATTGTGCTGCGGCAAAGGGGCTCGCAAGCTGCTACAAAGCTCGTAGGGCCATTGACAAACAGGTTCTTTCAAAAAGTGGCTGGACCTATTGCACATATTGATAGGATCACAGTGCCAATGTGTTCGAGTTAAGGTTGGCTTGCTGTTGCTGCGGCCATCACGGCGCTTGTTCTTCTGGTCAATGATCACTTCGATGTGGTGGTATTGCGACTTGGCACGTCTCGGTATATGGGGACTGCACAATGAGAAACTATTTTTGGGGTAAACACATGTTCCGGAACACTTTCGAGCTCATGATTCGGCATGAGCACGCCTTTGCTTGCTCGGCTGGACGCCAACAGTGTGGTAGCATGTCATTTTGCTATAATATTTTGCTGGGGCGACAAAACATCCTGTCCTGCACAATGCTGAATGCTTGTCAACTACCAACGGCTCAGGAACGATTTCAATATCAACAAATCGTTCTACCAATGTCAACGTGGAAGATTAATTCTGAGAGGGTCAATCTGGAGGATTCCAACGACGGATGAGGATATTGGATCCACTACGGTCTTTATACGGCCGTAGGAATTCTTGGTGACGTGTCGTTTATAGATGACAGCTCCCAACGTTGGCACGAACTTGTTGTTTTGAAACATAAGAAATGGGGCAGGACATTAAAATAAAATTGACGTTTTGATCTGCAACGTGGGTGTGAGGGCAATGGGTAAAACTACGACTTGGTGAACGGATGGTTGGTGAACGATCGTTTCAACATCCAAACGCGACTCTGTTGCATCGCGCTACCTGTTTCTCCACCCAGGCGTGTTGATCGCGCCCTTGGGAAACAGGCCAGGTGCAGTGGGGTCTCCTCGGCCAGCGTCAACTACTGCTAGCGGCCCTTCTGAATCATCTTCCGAGCACTGAACATGTCATGTAGTTTTTAGAAAAAGTTATATAAACATGTTGTTTTTGTGGTGGGAAAACATACTCTTTGAAGTTTTCACTACAAAATGAGACACCCCGGGGTGTCATAACAGGGGGCATTTTGTAGAGACTTTGGTTTTCAACCTTTCTACAAGATCACACCCTGGTCTGGCAAATATCATTGAAAAGGCACCAAAAGTATCACCTTCTGAGGTGGGGTTGTGATTCTGTAGAAGAGCCCAAACATTTTGGGAAAATGCCCTAAATGCCCAAGCTTTTGCTTGGGTTTTGAATCTGTAGAGAGTGCACAGCGGCTCTTGCGTGTTTTGATTTTGTAAGGATGTTCCATGATGTTCCTGAATGGTGCTCAAAGTCAGAATGTTGCAACAAAAACATGCATGTTCAGCAATCAGAATTCAGAAATTGAATCGGAAGATTCGGGATTTGCCACATGGAATTTTCCTGCTTCCAGGTTCTGACAAAAAACACGGTAAGAACACTTGATGTCTCTTGGCTGAATTCAACATCAGAACATGAACATGCCAAACTATCTCCCTACAGAAGCAGAACATGCAAAAAATACACTAAAGAGACCACAAATCATTGCACAATCCTTTTCACTACAAAATCATCTGGCCAAAATGGCTCCTGAAAGTCCATTTTTGGAGCACTTGATGCTTGGGTTGTGATTTTGTAACAAAGTGAATCAATCAACCGTTGATTTTGTACAGTCAGATGATTGCCTGAGAGGCTGTGAGGTTGCAATTTGTAGACTTCACAGGGGGACCCTATGGTTGGGTTCTCGATTTGTAACTACAAAATCAAACACCCCACCCTTCTCCCGAACTCACAGGGGGATGGGAAAACAATCTTTATGTTTTTTGATATACATTGATTAAGCATTCACAAAAAGCAAATCCCATGACCATGGCATACCATGGCCAAGTAGCAACCAAAGAGGTTGACACCTTTACCAGAAACAATTCTTAAACAAAAAAGAACCGCTGCGTCTTGAAAGGGAACTTGCGCATGTTTTTTGAACATTGCAGCCAGCAACCGCTTTTGTTGACCTACTTCAAGTGCCGAACGTTGAGTTTGCGTGGAACATGTCGGAAACCACAGAAACGGTTCACAAATAATTTCACACATTCAAATCCATTCCAATACCGTGCAGTGCACAGCATTGGCATCAGTTCATTGCCAGGTCCATTGCCTCGTGTTTCGCGCTCTTTGGGCGCTTCGCCTATTTCGCACCTTGGCATTGCCCGGCGGCGGGGCCGGGGCGACTCCTTGGGGTCCGACCAAGCGCCGTCCAGGGAGTCCGAGCACCGTCCAGGCGTCGAAAACGGCCGTGGATGGGTCGAATTGGAAAAAGGTTTCGGCCCTGGGCCGAACGGGGTACCACACATGAGTCAAAAGGAGTTTGACTGTCTCAATAGCCAGGCAGCCAAAAAGAAACACGTTTGAAGTGACCCTGCCCAAATGTGAAACCTCAGCCTGGGACTGTGTACCGAAAGGAAAGTCCATCCAGCACAGGGGATCAAAAAGAACTGGTTTGAAAGCACTTGGACCATAGGAGCTTATCCCAAACAGCTTCTCAGGAGGCATTTGCAAGTCCTGAGTTTGAACCCTTCATAGACCTCAGATCTTCGGTGCTTGGATTGGACTTTTGGGCTACTACTTGCTCAAAAGGCCACCGAAGCGAATCGAATCCTGTCCACATCGCCAAATCCCCCAAACATAGGAAGAGAACGTCCGTTTTTTTGGCAAACGTGGAATCATCCTGATGAACAGGTCAGCAACCTATGGCGAACCCTCAACGAAAACGCTCGGCCGCTAACCTTTTCCTGGATGCTTTGAGTGCAAAAGGGCAGCTGTCGCTGCACACATGTGAACCGTCCGATGGATTTCGACTGGTGTCTTCTCGTTTTGAGCGTGTCATCCACGCTCCCCCTTCAGTTGATCGTCAGATCGAACTGACTGAAAACTTCTTTTCTCAAAATATTGAGCTTCTGTGGGCCCAAACCACCCTTTTCTTCTTCTCATATCATTTCCACTCTTCATCGTCTTTCCCTTTCCTTTTTCAGTCACTTCTCTCATCGGCCATGAGGGGCACATCTCGTGCAAGGAGTGTACCTGAGCCGATCTAGCCCAAGATCCGGGCAGCTTGAACAGGAGTGGAGGTTTCCACCCCCCACCGAGCGAGCGCAGGTGGCGCACCATCGTCCTCTTCTTCGTTCTCCAGTGTTTCGAGCCACCAAATAATCACAATTTGCCCGGCAAAACCAATGGTCCTTCATCTTGATTGGTCACCGGGGTTGGATCCCCGGTTGATGGTGCCGGTGGCATAGTTCGTGCCTTCGGCGTCACAGTGGCCTTCCACTGGCCACAAATGGCCTGGTCCTTCAACCTTCTATTCTCCATCACGAGGTATCGCAGCTGTTGGGACATCTCTTCTCGCTCAGTCCTTTCCAGCCTTGCTCTTTCCTCCAAGCCCCTTCGCTCTTCTTCACCAGCTTCTTCCAACCTCAGTCTTCGAAGGCTTTCCCTCTCTTCGTGCTCGAGGAAGGGTGGTCTTGTGACTGTCATCGGTGTCTGGAATGCCGGATACAGGAGTGGAGCCTGATGGTACATCGTGTGAAAGCCATGCAATTGCTCTGGTGTGAACAGTGGGATCTGGTGTTCTGGTGGTGTCGACATCGAAACCACAACGGGACCTGTCGGTCCAGCTTGCTCTTCGGCTTCAATCTCTGAAACACTTCTACCCTTTCCACCTTTCCCTTCAACTCTAATCGAATCCCGCCTGGGTCCTTGATCTTCAGGCGTCTTCACTTCCGCTTCCACTGCATCTGAACCTGTGTCTCCAGGCTTCTTTGGGGTGATGGCGGCTGGTGCTTGTAGCGGAGTCCTTGCTGCATGCGATGTCTTGGATGCAGGTGTGGCCTCAGAGGTCCTAGCTCGGCTGTCTTCGGTGGTCTGGAGTGCAGTCGAGGGGGTTCCATGAGGTGCAGACTCTAAAGCCAGTGAACTTTCGGCACCCTGTCTTTCCCTTTGGTCTTTGTTTCACCCTCCTTCCTATCTTCTAAAGGAAGTTCTGAACTCTTGACGCTCGCGATCCAGCCTTCGTTGAGCTGCTTCCATTTCTGACCTTGGCGCAACTCATCTTGTGTCGCCTTGCGGCGACGGTGTTGTTGAATTGTTGAATGCCCTGCATTCCCAAGCTCTCAAAGGATGCTTGGGCTCATAACCTGATGAACAGGTCAGCAACCTATGGCGAACCCTCAACGAAAACGCTCGGCCGCTAACCTTTTCCTGGATGCTTTGAGTGCAAAGGGCAGCTGTCGCTGCACACATGTAAACCGTCCGATGGATTTCGACTGGTGTCTTCTCGTTTCGAGCGTGTCATCCACACATCCAATCCTTCACACCGGTCTCCATTCACCCACTCTTCACCCATTTCACCGGCTCCACATGGTCTCCGCACCAGGTCTTTGGTGCCAAAAAGTAGCGATGCCCTAGATACTAGTACTCGTAGCTTCTTGCTACTACTAGTACTAGTAATGGCCTCCAACCTACTAGCGATGGCCTCCAACGTAGTAGCAATGGCCTCCACCCCAGTAGTTTTTTGGCTACTACTAGCGATGGCCTCCACCCTAATAGCTCCATCTCCTTCACTTCCAGGTCTTTGGCGCCCAAGTGCTCCTTTGGCAGCTGGGCGATGCTCAACGCAGCTTCCCGGCGTCCCGTCTTCAACGGATCCGTGCGTCGACAGAGCTCAAAAGCTTCGTTTGGAGGGCCGGTGTGTGGTGGATTCGAGGCCATGTTGCAGTTTTTTTTTTTATCCGGGAGGTGTGGAAACCATTGTTTTGAGTATATGCATATAAAATGTGTGAGTGTGTAGCTTGAATAGGGAGACCTCCCAGGCAACAACCCCCTGGAAGAAGGAAAATAGACCAGTCTACCTAGCCAGGGCTAGGGGGTCTCCCTATTAAGTACACGCCCATAGGATGGTATATGGTAGCCAAAAGCAGTACGGCAAACAACACCGTCTTCGGAGGCAGAAAATTTATTGTATATAACGCGTTTCCATTGTCCATCGCTGCGTTTTCCACCATGAAAGTAGCTCAAAAACCAGCTGACGTAGATTTGTAGGGGGTGGAGGAGAGGAGTGGTTTAGGCACATAGAACTTTGAAGTAGAGGACTGGCAGTTGCCGAAGAAACTTGTTTGGTGAGGTATGTCGCAGATGAGACGCAGGACCAAGTGCATGTGTTTGAGTTTAGACCTCTCCAAAAATTGATTAAAGTCTTTCTAGATCGATGTCAGATCAATGTTAGATCGAAGGTGTTGATCTCCAACATCCTTTGACTGATTCCCTGGAAAGGACCGGACCCCACAGGCCAGACTCACCACTGTCCGCCAAAAGCAGCTCCCAGACCGGGGCCCTAACCAGTCTCCAAATTGGTATGTTTGCCATTGCCGTTCTTGAAGGCAGCTTACAGACACAAATTGTAGGCCGTACAAAGTGTCACAAAGTCTTAAAGTGTTGCACACACTGCTGGTGGGATTAGCATGTATAGTTCATCACCCGTACCAATGCAAGATCAATTCAAGGGACCCGTCACCTACTCAACTACTGTTTTTTCTTTACATAAATACTGCCAGCAATTATTTGGGGAGGGTGGGTGGGTGGTGGTCACTGAATTAATATTGAGAGGTGGGTCAGGTGGGTGTCAGGTACCTCAAAATAATTCGTTGTAACAAGGGATGAAGGTCAAAGGTCCACCACCTGCCAATATAGTGTTCAATCAACAAATTGTAATATGGTAGTCCCTTGGAAGTCAAGGACCTATGCAATAATTTACATGCAATGAAATAGATTTAAAGCATATGTATCTTCAGGCTCAAGGACCCTTGAAATTATTTCTAGAGATGGCAAGGCAAAGGATGAGGAAGCTGTTAATTCTCGATGTAATTATTTTTACAAAACTAAAGCTTATGCTACTCGATGGTCAAGAGACCCCTGAAATAATTTGTAGAGAAGGCTAGGATCGCGCATCCCGATTTTACCACTATCATCCACTTGTTTGCAAACATTAACAAACAGCATCATGAACATTCCATAAACGTCCACAAACCTTCTGTCCAAAGCTTCCATAGCTATTGATTGCAGCGTTTGTTGACTGTTGATGGTGACGGTGGGTCGGGTCCTGTTGGGGAATGCCGGAAAGAGCCTGGCTTGCAAAGAAATATCGGAACAACATTCAGGTCCTGGTTGTTTTCACAGGCTCACTTCAGGCTTCGGGCCCTTGGATCATGAGTGAACATTGGCAGCGGGCCACCTCCCAATGTGGATCCGGCCTCGTGGACCAAAAGAACTGTGTGGAGGTCGAACACTCCCTCATCCTTTCCTAATTTTTGTCATATTAATTTGCGCCCTACTAATTTGAAGACCACATGCTTTCTGCATATCGTCGTCGCTTCTCTTTCTCTGCGCTTGAAACCAAAGCCATACAGATCAGACGAGAATCCCATGTCATCCATATCAATCCACTAATTATTTTCCGCCAACCTTCCAACCGCACTTCTGCAAAAAACTTTTGTAGGGTGGTTGACCTCTCCCACTCCCCCTTCATCTTCCATTTGCTGCCCTTACCTTACAGTACCCTATATTATATTGTCCTCTCAGGGGAGGGGTCAGGTACCTTTCAAATACTTTTCCAATGTATTCCAATTGAGCAGCTTCAAAAACCTCTATGATGAAAAGTGTACAAACTGTAATCTCACATTCTTCCGCGAATGCCAAAATGCAAAAGCTCCGCGAAAGCAAACCTGCATTATACAAAAATGATCTGCAGACGATAATGCCATGCAATCCATTGTAATCTCCCACGCTTCCAACCGCATCCCAATGTGAGCCCGAAATGAGTAGAATATGAGGTGTTGAACTTAATTGCAGGGTTGGTTGACCCTTCCCCCCACCCCGACCTAGACTCGGTAGGGTCAGACAACAAAGATCGACAAAGTATAAAGTATATTATTTGGTCACTCAGGGGAGGGGTCAGGTACCTTTCACATACTTGTCCCATACCCCTCCACCTTGACCTTGAATCCGGATATGGTATGGTTGGATCACCAAACATATTATAGTATATTGTTTAGTCATTGAGTGGTCAACGACCTGTCAAATTTTCAATATTGTTCACAATGTGTTCTTTTGTCACTTGTTCACCATTGTTTTTTAATGCTGTTTGCATCTTTCTTCCTCAGTAACTCAACGTCCATGTTGTCAGAAACCCTTCATTGATCATTGCTGTCCATCTATCATCTATTATTGTCGTCTTGCGTTGGGACGCTGCGTGTCAGGTGTAGGACGTCCCGTGTCGGACGTCGCGCATCGCACGTTGCACGTCGGAGGTCGTGCGTCGGATGTGGTGTCGGATGGATGTGTCCATGAGAGTTCCCGACAGCTCGGATGTCAGACTCTGTTTTAACCAATTCCCCGGGGAATCATCCAGTAATTCATTGGAGCCCATAGACACCCTCGTGCCCAAAATGCTTCAGAGACTCAAAAATTGCAAGCATGCGTCTGACACGGTGGGAGAATGTGGGAGATAACTGATAACTGTTCTCGATTAGGTCCACCCACCCCACAATCATTAAAATAGCCTACGGTCGCTAAATCGGGACGGGTGATTATATAATTTTCAATAATGTGCTATATGCTGCTTCAGGTGTCTTGCTTTGGGAGACGATTCTTTGGTGAAAGACGACACGCCCAGATCTGGAACCGCTTCCAGTGTTCGTCGGATTCCAGGCTTCGGATTCGCAAAAGCGGTGCAAAAGCGGTGCGGTCTCCGGTGCCAACGGGGGTCAGACATGGGAACACCGAGGAGACCAAGAATGGCACCGTGCTCCATGTGATTTTGATCGATGCTCGGCGCGATGGGTCGAAATGAGGTTCTTGTTGGGAAACAGAGGTCGAAACCGGTGTCCAAGTGTCGTGTAATTCCACCGCCCGTCCCCTTGAGGTTTTTCATGCTTGGGGTTGGTCACCGCCCGAGCCTGGGCAGCCCTACTTTCCAAAGACTTCTTAGACCCAGCTCAGAACCGGCACAGCTGGAAGTGTGTTTTAATATGGGAGACACCCTGGCCCTGGCTGGGTAGATATCTATTTCTCTTCTTCCAGAGGGAAGTCGTTGCCTGGGAGGTCTCCCTATTTCAGCTGCAAAAACATGTAAAATGCATACAGGAGCCACTCTTTTCAAAGGCTGAGTCATGCTGGGTCCATGTTTCTTGCCTATGGAGGATGGAGGGTTGTTGAGGGATTTGAGGAATTCATAGGCCAAAAGGGAATGGTCACCAAGGCAAATCTTCCTCGAGCCTTATGTGCGGGCAATCACTTTGTAGGAGCCTTTTATCATTGGGACCTTGCAAACTGTTCGATATCATTGGGATCCTCGCGAATGGAGATCCCACTTCCTACGGCGTCCGGGGTCATGGGCACATGAGTGTCGTGTCCTCATTGATGAGATTGGAATCCAATAACAAATGAAATACTGTACCCAAGCAGAGCCGAGCTTGGGTTTGTCCCAGCCTCATTTTCTCAGGAGCTGCTGCCGCTGATCTTGACCCTTCACTGGCATGCCCTCAGTGTGGCCATCGCCGGTGCTCCGGCACAAAGCGAGTCGACCAAAACCGCCACCCCGCACAAGTCATTTGGACCATCCAAAAGAAACTGATGAACACCTGGGTGGTTCTGTACGACACATTGGGAGACGGGCAAATGAGAAAAAGAAACGACACAGTACTTGTACCACTGTCGCGACATCCAAGGAGTAACAATCAGACTAGTTCACACAATGAAAACACGTGTTGCCAGTAATCCTGCACATCTGGGGACATGTTTTTCGGCGCTTCGCCTCCACTGTCTCCACTCCGGGTGTGTCCTTTCCACGTTGAGCTGCCCAGGATATAGCATCAACGGAGCCTTGTTTCAGTCCTGGGAAGGGCCTATGGCCTTCTTGGTAGGCGGGTCGGTCCGAGGGGATGAAAGATGGTGAAAGGAACTCACTCATATTCATTTTGATTGCCCCTCTTGAACCTGTTTCCAGGGCATTCCTGACATGTGTAATATGAATTAATATGAGTCTATGTTTCAGTGATTTTGAGTGTGGATTCGACATGATCTAAGTCTATGCTTCGAATCATCTACTTGGGCCGTGGGGAAAACAACTGGACCGAACGCGTACCGAGTTCACATCTCAAAGCACGGAGGGCCTCGACGTGCTGGTTTAACCAGGCCTTTGGACTCGGCTCAAATCTCACCATGATGGAGGCCCAGTGGTTCAACGCACCCGTTTTCAAGCGGTGCATAACGCTAACGCACCAGTTGAACCGGTGCTTTGGCCCACAGGTCGTTTCACCGGTCCTTTGGACCTCCCAACTGATGTATCAGGATGGGTAGGTCTATAACATTATATATATATAGACAAGATATAGACCCATAGAATCATGTACTATATCATCTGGTTGTGAAGTGTGGCTTTTGCTGAAAAACGCGCTCGTTTTGCACCTGTCCGGACTGGACTTACTGGGTTGTTATATCATATTACTTAATATTCATTGTGTTTTGTTTATTGTATATGGTGTTTAAAGGAGTGGAAAATGAACGGAACGATTTGGGCAATCGACTCACCCACCGACTCGGCTAGACAGAACCATGTACTCCAAACGACTTGGGAATCACAAGGGACAAGTGAGCAACTTTATGGTTGTATGTACCATGTTACAAGATCCAATCCGCAGAATGTTACATTTGCAGTTGTGGATGACAAGCAATGCCAAATTCCCGGACCCACATGGGTTCCATTTAGAAGTCGTGTCGTTACAACCACCCTCCAACAAAACCTCAAACAGCAAGCTGCTAACCTTTGTGGAATTGTGTGTTGTCTTGAACACACCTTGCAGAGGAACATCATTTGCCCGTGCTAGGCTAAAACGGGAGCATGTGTCCTTCTTTTGAATGGGTTTCACTGTAAGTGTCGTACTCTGCCACACCAAGATAAAATTATGGAACTCATCAATGTTTGAATACGTCCTTCTTGACCAAATCTGTATGTGCCCTTCCAAATGTTTGATCTCTGGAAGTGCGTCAAAGCCTTTCGCACAAAGCCAAACGTTCACATAATCCTGCATTTTTAAATTCCTGCATAGGGTCCTACCAGGAAGTCGTTTTCTTGCATATTCTTACTTTGTGCGAAGGCATCATTCCGGTTTCAGGAATCCGCCTTATATGTTGAGTTTTACAGATCACTAGAAGATCATGTATGTATGTCTTCTTTCTCACAAAACTTATAACCTCCCGTACCCCACAATGCGTGGAAGGGCTTGGAGGTAGGTGTTCGCAAGTCTGTTGCCCAAAACCTCTCCGAGAACGGGGCGCCGCCGCAGGCATGGTGATCCTGGCGCCACTGGCTTTAGGATCGTGCTGAGTGGATCACTTTTGGGTGGATCATATATGCGTTGCTCTTGGAAAATCGCGCTTGTGGTAAGTGACAGACAGATGTGCCTAAGCTCAGTACAGACTAACTCATTAACATGCTAGTGGACCATGGCCCTAAAGATCCTAGGGAGATGACTTTCTGCACAAGCAGATGGTTTCCACATATGTCCACTGCAAATTGATTGTCGACGACACAGCGTTAAGATTCTCACAGTTCATCAGCCCGGCGGGCCCTTTGGGCATAAGCTTGGCGGATCTAGGAGTCAAGGAAGGTGCCAAGGGGGAGGATTTTTTGGCGACGCAACCATGTTATCCCGCTGAAATTCAGGTGTTTGTGATTGTTCGTGCTATTTTTTGCACCTTTTTGCATCCTTGACCGTAATGTGCTCACTGTAGTGTGTGATCGAACCGGGTGTGTGCCATTCATTGCTGGTCAATGTCCTTCCAGTTTGAACAATTTTCTCAAGATCTTTTCTTGGGCAGTAGCGCGCTTTCTCTACAATAAAGGCGTTTTTGAGTCCATTACTGGAGCGTAACAGTTGATTTTGGTCCACCGTGCACGTGCATTCGGCTTCACTAGATGGATCCATATTGCCGGGTCTTTGAACCGGGGCGAATCTACACCTCCCGGTGGTCTTCGGTGTCTTGAGGGTGGAGAGTCCATTTTCAGGAGTCCTCCGCGATTGGTATCGCGCCAAGCTGCTGAGCTGGATCCTACGACGCTTGGTCAGAAGCCGGTGGTGAGAAAGGAACAAGCAATGGTACAATAATCGAATATATATATATATATATCGATACAGATCTGGGGTTATATAGTTATATAGAATAATCAGATTTGCCAACATTAGGTTAAGGAGGTGTTGTTGTCTTTTTTTGCAATCTGTACAGGTGTTAGTTCGGCTCATCGTTTCGGATTCGTTCTTTTTCTGGGTGCATTCTCCACACATTGGTGTTTGCAAACCGATGGTGCTGTCAGGTCAAGCACTTAGGCATGAGGCGGTTTTTATGCCCAAGAGTTCAGGTGAGGCACTTCTTCCAGGTGTGGAAGAAGGGTATTTGGAGGCCGATCACGAGCATGAGGGAGAGCTTAGCAGCTATAGGTGCCATTCAGGTCATGAGAGCCACCCTCAAAACCAGACATATGGTTGAACACAACACCTTCCGAAGATTCACATCCTGTCACATCCCTCCTAAAGTTCAAAGTCTTTCCGGACAATGTTTGACACAGGTGTGAGTCAGTGTGAGGGTTGAAGTCTTTGACCACCAACATGTTCAGATCATGTCAGGTTCATTTCTGGGCGCCAGGTGTTCCGATAATTTTTTTGGAGTTTTGGAGGTTGAGATGTCGGTTGGTTGGGAGTTTTTTCTCCCCCCGAACAGGTGCTTCTACGTGATTGGTGACCCGCCAGGTGTTCATGCTATCATCAAAGCAGCTTTCACTGAGACTTTTCATCGTTTACCTCCATGGGTTCCCTGGAACACCTCCATGGATCTGAGTGTTTGGAAGTGATTGTGTCTGTCTGTTAACACCCATGTGGCTCACCATTCCAGGCCTAGTAGCGTCCTTGCTCCTAGGCCCATGGTGCTTGTAATTGCGGATGATTGATCACCGTGAAACAGAGAGTCCGCAGAAGGCATGCTAAGGCATGTCTGGGCAGGTACTGGTACTACCACAAGATGGTTTGAGTCCCAAAACCCGATTCTGTGACTCCACATGACTCCACCTCATAATCCAATTCGTCACCCATCACCCGCAGCCCACCAAAGCACCCAACCCGCAGCACCCCACGGTTCTTTGGACCCGTAGTCCCTGCTCCAAAGCTCCAGTTTCCAAGGGCAAGCCTTCTTCACCGTGGTGGGCATCGTGGGGCTGTTACCTGGCCGAGGGATGGAGGTCTTTTTTCGGTATGTGTGCTCGGAGGAGGGTTGAGTTGAGTTCATTGGTGTTTTCCTCAAAGAGGTCTTTTTTCAATGAAGGGGTTTAGGGAACATCTGCCAAGAAACCCTTGTGAAAACACATTTGAACGAGGTATTTTGCTGACTTGCTAGCCTGCATCCGGGCACATGTCCGCCCCATCTTGCAAACTCGGTTCCTTTCGATCGCCCGCTCTGTTTTGGCTCAATCCAAGTGGTGGTTGTGTCATGTTGTGTCCAAAAAAACCTTGGATTTGAGCCAGGAGTTCACAACAGTTCTGATGGCGACAAAAGCAAAACAATTTTAAACACAGAAAAACAAGATAATGGATGATAATGGTACTTACAGTTGTTCTTCCAAGTTTCAACACGAATTCGGTAGCCACGAGCACATCCATTTGTTGAATCTTTGAACATCTTTGGTCCCACATGTGACCTAGAGAAGCTTCAAATTTCTGCAGACTGGACCACTTAGGACCTTGCTCTTCTCGACCAGCGGCTGGGGCCTTCACTTGCATCATTACTTCGTGACCTGGCCAACAGGAATTCAAGATCGAACTTCCCATCCACCCTGTACCACCCCTATTGATGGGTATATAAATATGCCATTGGCATACTATCATGCATGGAGCGGTCCCAAATGAGATCGAAACGGTGTCCAAGAAATTTGGAGAGGGCAGACCGAAGGCGGCAGGCATTCGGGCACGGAGCCCGCAAAGCATTCGGAGCCCTGCCCGCAGGTCTGAGGTGAAAGGTGGGACATGACTGCACAGTGTGTCACCTTTTGAAGGATGGCAGAGAAAAGGGACGGGGTCGACCCGAAGAGCAGTACTCCAATGCTTTGTGCAATGTTCAGCATATTTGAATACCCTGGACAAGGCTTGGGTGGGAAAAAGCCCAGAAGATGGGGAGGGCAGCTGTGAGGCCTTAGAACTCTCTACAGCGGTCAGTTCTAGCTTATGGTGTTTTTGGTTTTCCCTCAGATGTTTTGAACTAAGCCAAGTGCTTTCGATTGCACACTGAGATTGATGTTCACAAGAGCTGAATCAGTTGGTTAAGTTCCACTTTACACGCATTTAGACCTTGACTTGATGGAACCGAAGGATGCTGTAACAGAATGGTGGCTGACTCAGCGGAGTTGAATGTGTTTCAACAATGTGTTTCAACAAAGTGAATCTGCGATGGGAAACAGCGCGGCTGCAGTCAGCTGGGAAAGGTTTAGGGGGGATATCATGCAACGACCATGGAACCAACAAAAAGCGCGGGAAGAGTGGAGTCTTTTCACGAAGCAGGTACACCAGGTTGATCAGACCTGGCTTCCCAGATGCAAGGTAGCTTTGTTAGGCGCAGTCCCTTGCATCTGCTGCGCCCCCCTGCTCTGTACAACTTAAAATGTCCTTCAAAACAGGAGTTGACACACACACACACACACACACACTTTGGTATCCGACTGGTGCCTCGAAGATAATATGAGTCGAGTGCACATGTGCTAGAACTAGCTCCACCTGTGCCAGGTTCTTTACATTTCATGACCTTCACCCAAGGAAACTGCATTCATCAAATCCGAAGAGTGCAGCTGACAGATGCTGAAATGCTTTTTGGAAGTGACCCATTATGTCTGTTCAAAGTGACCTTTCGATTTCGACATTTCGAAGCCCACGACATTGGTGGCCCAAATTTGGTCCCAAGTCAGACAGCTTTCAGTGCATCTTGCATATGGTCTGGTTCTAATTCAACCCCAGCCTGCAGGTAATCGACATGATCAGTGCTTATAGATCCTCAGAAATGGGAAACATCACAGCACCCCCCAACACAGACCAGACATGCCTATGGATCCTTTTTCTTGCAACTTTAAACACAAACTCGACTCATCTGTGACTCTGTTGACCACCGCAGATCGCCCTCATGTGCTACCTGGCCTCCCGGGGCAAGTCCAACTGCAGCGCCGTCGCGCGTGCGCTTTGCCTCGGCGCCCTGGGTGGAGTTCGTCGCCGAAGCTGTTCGCAGGGTGGCGGTCATGGTAGACGGTGCAATGGACTGTCCGATGGACTCATTTGACGACAGACGGTGCTTGAGAATGTGCCATGGGTTGAAGTATATCAATCCATGTTCGGAAGGTGTAATTATTTGGATGCACAATTAGGGAATATGTGTATACGTGCATAGATGGATCACCGTCTATCTTGGAGTGGGTATTCTTGGGGTGTGATTGTCGGTCTACTGCGTGTTTATAGGGATTTTCCCGGGATGGGCCATACTTGTTTTCTTCCTCAGAACAGACATTGGCGATGTCACAGCAGTTATATGTCCAAAACAATGGATGATGATGGATGGCACAAGCGCAAAGTCCTTCGTGGTAGACTGCTATCTGTGGCACGTTGGAGGGACTCAGGATTGTTTCCTTCATTAATTCCTTCTGCAAAGCCCCTGGTACTGTGTAGGAACCAGCTTCTTGAAAGTGACCCTTTAAGGGTCACTGAGTGACCTTTTGTAAATTGGCCTTTGGCCGGGAACTGCAAGTGTATCTTTGAAGAACCAGGAGGTTCTCCAACCTGGTCCCTGATCAGCATCAAACCCTTAGCACTGGCTTTTCAGTTTGCAGGGTGCGAAAAGACGGTAGATGCACTGGGTGCCATTGGCCAGACGACAGCGCACTCACTCAGGCGCGTTGATCAATGGCCTCTCACATTGGGGAGCCACTTAGCCCAGCCACGCGGGGAGCGTTCGGATCCAAACCAGACGACCACATACAAAACCAAGTCAGGAGAAAGAAACTTGACCAGATGCATGTTGAGGCTTGGGGAGAAACCCGATGCTTTCCAGGATTCCAGTAGTAGCAGCTTTCCAAAGGAAGTGGCCACACTTGGTGCGCAGGGTCACAAGAAGCAAGATCCAGATACTTGAGGATATAATGAGATCTACTGAGGATTATGTTGAAGGACATAAAACCCGACATTCTAGAAATAATGAAATACTGATGTGACAAACCTTGTACCAATAGAGTCAGCACTGAATGCAAACCATGATGGAGATGGTGCAGTTGAAGGACGTACAAAACCACAGTTTCTGACCTGCTACTCTCAGTGTGACATGGGGTGTCGAATTAAATTGTTGCATTTTTATGCATTCGTTGATGAACAGTAAGAGTCCAAGATGGGGATTATGATTATGACGACGACGATGGCGACGACGATGGTGATCATGATCAGTGTTCGAAGCTTTGGGAATAGCTCCACGCATTTTGGATCCCATCGTTGAGAATGATGCGCGGGGGGATGGCTTTCTTCGCGCTCAGGAGACCTACCAGATACCCATTTGGACCGAAGGCACTGGTTGGTATCCACCCTCTGGCAACGTGGACGCTGGTGCTTGGGGCAATGATGACCAGGCCGGCCTGACGCTGCCGCAGTCACCGTTCCTGGGGTCGTTTCAGTCCGGGTGGCTGAATTCAAGTCGATGCCCCTTTTCGGGTTACTAGTAGCTTCTTCTTACTAGTAGTAATGCCAGGAGCTACTAGTAGCGTCCTTGTTACTAGTAGCTGTAGCTTCTTGTTGCTTGTTCATAGATCTTCATGCTCCTATCAGTCACCCCGTTCATGCAGGATTCCGACTAGGCGCCAACATATGGATTCGGAAGAAAAACTGTCAGAGGTGGCCACGCAATGCCACGCACCATCTTCATCCAATCTTTTTGTTTGAAGCTACACCTTTCAGGTCCAATCCATGAAAAACTATCAGGTCCAATCCCAAGTCCATGCTGTGACCTGGTTTGTCCAGATGTTCATACAACCGGTTTCGGGCAATTTGGGTGCACAGGACCAACAACCAAAGTTACTAGAAAGTATATAGTAATCTAACGATCTTTGTGATGGTAATAACTCCGCTCGCAAGGTTGGCTGATGAAAAGGTTTATCATCAGCTATAAAACTACAAATCTTCAACATCTAACACTCCACGGATTCTCCGCCCGACCGAGGGCCGCTCGGGCTGCGTTCCATCGGCCCACCAGGTGATTCTCACGGCGGCCGAGCGGGTGAATCAGAGCGAGGAGATTCTCTTGCGCCACCCAGCGGCGATCGCGATCGCGAGAGCGGCCGCAGATGGGCCTTTTTTTTGAATGGCTTGTTCCAGGAACATACCCTCATTTTTGTATGTGGTGTATCGTGTATGTAGCCCTGTTGAGTCCCAGTTGAGATCCTGTTGTTCCTGTGTTTGTGAGACCCAAGCACTTCTAGGAGGCCTGAGGCCGCCCATGAATGGTACTTTAGGAAAGGTTAGAGGCTACCGTTTGCCCATGCCGCAGCAGGTGCTTTTCCTACTTTGCTTTTGTTCGACCAAAGGAAGCCACAAGTGTGTGTGGAGTCGCGGAGATGTCACATTTCTTCAGAAAAAAGGCTCGGCTAAATAGGATTGGAGCGCTCCTCGCTTTGGATGATATCGAGTTTTCACCGCTGAGGATGGGCTTTCGTCAAAGACCTGATCTCATCCAACTGCAGCCTCGACCCACAGCAGGAGCGTTCGGTTCCGAAACCGAAGGCGAACAACATGTTTGATGGGCAACCAGGTTGCCCAGTACATCCCAGTACTATGGTCGAGGGCAATTGCTTGGCTGGTTCGTGTTGTTTTTGCTTTGTTACGCTTTTTTCTTTGGGTTTTGTGGCCAACATGGTGAGGCTTTAAATCAGGTCATCAGACCGGTCGTCGCAACGTTCGTCGGTGGGGCGATGGATCTGGCGGACGATGTTTGGTCGGAAACAAAATCCATCTGACACGGGTCAGAAACCGGGAAACCTTCACTCGAAACCGGGAGACCTTTAGACGTTTAGAGGGAACATCCGAGTTGTGGATGGAGTAGATCCTGCTGCTTGGTCCGGAAACCATTTTGGAGGACCCTCACAGGCTCAACCAAGGCCGGGCCGTCTTACTCAGCTGGTTGAGGATCAGATCAGCCTACAGAAGGCAGCACAGGCTCAGTTGGTGTGCCCCATTCTTGCCTCCTCCTTCCTCAGCTCACTGAGTTACTCAACTGCGACCCAAAGACCTCGCTCACTCGCATTCACTCGCACAACCGACTCACAGACCCGTCTATCAGACTCTCAGAGCTGTGGTGAAAGGCACTTGTCGTCTCAGATTCTCAGTCACTTGTCACACATGTGACTGCGGTATCAGGCGGTATCCTTGCAATTTTGCACCCCAGCAGGACAGCTCCATTTTTGTTGTCGAGATGAATCACATCGAGCGGGCTCCTCAGAGACTTCCTTGAGCGGGCCCGTGACGGCATCAACTTGGGCATTGCCCTGGATGACCACTAGTTAGTTCACTATAGTTGCTAGATGTTGCGGCGTAGTTATACCAACAGAGATATCCAGTTTTGGGTCCTGCCCATTTGTGGTGAGTCAAATCCTTGGGCGAAGATGATTGTGCAATGTGCTTATGTCCTTGAACGTGTTGTGTTGGTAGGCAAGCATTGGTTCCAAAGGCATGTCTTTTCACTGTGTGAGCTGCGCAGCTTGTGCGAAACGGTGGACCCTTCGGTCTTGCACCGCCAGGATCTACCGCGGCCCCCAGCGCTCGCTCCGCTTCCTTCCGCCGGCACCGGTGAGCTCGTCGAGCTCGTCGAGCTCGGTCTTCGTGCGCGTGGGCCGCGTGAGCCCCGGGCTCTCGCGGCAGGTGATTTCGGCCACGCAGGTGCCGGGGAACGGCGCCGGTTCCGGGTCCGGCGCGCGTTCGCGGCCAGAGGCTGGAGAGGATCATCTCCCGAGTTGCTTTTGGTCAATGGGATTGGCTCCATCGAGGTTATTTGGATCCTGCTGTAAGGTCCCACGAAGGGTAGAATATTTGTATGTATACACACCTTGTTGAACTGCCTTGTGTATATTTCGAACGGGACAGAGTTACACTATCGCGTTTTCTTAACCCGGGATTCTGCTCCAAAATCAAAATGTGTGAAGCACAATAAGCCCAGGTCTCAAATGTGTTTATAGTCATGTTTCATCGTCCAGTTGGCTTAACAAAAACTGAGAATTTGAAGCCACCCGATTGCCATGTTGGTACAACCGACTCCTTTCATGCTCAATCCTAGGGATCCCTGAGCTAACGCTCTTTGCACTTCGCCCTTTCGCCTGCGGTGAAATGGCGCTTGGACTTTGAGAGCTTTTGTTTCTCTCGACCTTCGAATCGGTCGTTGACAAGTTGGCACCGGAGCCTTTTACGTGCCTGGTGCGATGCGCCCCTCCGAGATGGCCTCCTTTGCTGGCGCTTGGTCGGACGCCCCAGATGTTGCACCGGAGCACCCGATCCAGGATGACGTTGTTGAGCCCCCTCCGACTTCACCATGGCGGTGCATGAGGTGCCACAAGGACGAGTTTGAGATGCTGCACGACACTTGGAGATGCTTGGCATGCGGCTCCCATGAGTACTACCATGCTCACAGGCACACCAAGACCGTCACACCTAGTGGAGTTTGGATGTTTGTCCCACATGCAGCAGGATCCTCACCTTCGCATGCTCCCTCAGATGGCCCACCCAGGACTCCTGTGAAGAGACAGCGAAGGCGGAAGAACCGCGTGAAGAAGTCGGACACCCCTCCCGACGGAGATGACGACGATGAACTTGGTGAGGACCGTGAACAGGCTGAGTCAGAGGTCCCAACTTTGGACCCCATAATTGAGCCTACGCCACCTCCATCGATCATTGGCGGCAAGACTCCTCGTCCCGCAGCAGGTCCTGGAGGCCCATCGACACCAGGCCCCAGGCCTTCGAAGAAGGATGACACTGGTCTTCATCCTCGCGGCTCTCAAGTACCAGTTCAGCCGCGTGGGAAACTTAACCCTCGACTACCTCGACCAGATGTCCTACCCCAACAACCCGATCCTGTACTACCTGATCTACCCGGCACCGACAGGAGCACCACTGGTGGAAAGAAGAAGAAACAGGACGATGAGTCAGACAGAACTGGAGCCTCATGGAACAGCAAGAAAGGTCCCGAGCCCGGGATCAAGTGGAAGACTGGTCAATACCCACCAGTTCCTGTGTGGAAGTATGACGCCAGCGACATGCGAGCCTTCGCCAAGTTCAAGAAGAAAATTGAAATATGGCAGCTTCAAATGAGACCCTATGCCACAGGGAAGGATCAGGCCCTTTTGCTCTACAACAGCTTGACCGGAGAACCAGAACAAGAACTCGAACACCTTTCCGTCGAGGAGCTTTATGTGGAGAATGGGGTCTCCAAGATCCTTGAGTTGCTGCAGAGGCCCTTCGAGCAGAGGCACATTTACCAGAAAAGGCGCTTCCTCCAGGACTTCGAGGGCATGAGGAGGTTTGCAGGTGAGTCCATGCGGGCCTATGTCCTTCGCTTTCGAAGGGTGATGAGGTCCCTACGGGCCGTTGGCATCGAGATCAATGCGACCTTTGACGAGGAGGCCCTCGGTTCACGACTGTTGGACCGGAGTGGACTGAGCCATTCCGACCAGAGGATGGTTCTAGTCGGTACCCAACAAAGCCTGGCCTTTGAGACCATTGCCGAGACCCTCGCACTCCAGTGGCCCGAGTTCAGGCCACCTCCACCGATCTTCACCAAGGAAGGCAAAGGCTATGGGAAGCAAGGCAAGTCCACTATGTCACAGTTTTCCTCCAGTACCACTTCTCTGACATCGACGGCGCCCTCCTCGAGACCTTCAAGTGGAAAGGGTACCATGCCCAGAAGAGTCTTCATGACGGAGACCGTGGAGGAAGAGCCACATGATGAGGCAGACCCCGCCGAGGGAGAGCACCTCGCCCCTGAGGCGGATGAAGGCGACAATGAGCCGCCTGAAGAAGACGAAGAGCCAGAACTTCTCGAAGACGACGAGCAGGGAGACCTTGAGTTACAAGAGTTAGCAAATGTCCTCACTGTCACCGCCAGAAAACTAAGTGGCGTGACGTTGGGCAGAAAATTTACGACTGGGGCCAAAAAGGCCAAAAAGAGCCCAGAATAGTTGCGGAAGGTGACACACTGTTCCGCTTGCGGTGCTTTAGGCCATTGGGCCGCCGATGCTGAATGCCCCATGAACAAAGGAGGCAAGGCTTCAAAGGGAGCCTCAAAGGGATCGGCAACTTCTTACCGCTCCTCGACTTTCCAGCCAAGCAAAAAGGGTGACAAGCCGCACCACGTGAGCGTAGTGCAGCACCATGAACACGGAAGCCTGCAAATCTCAGAAGAGCCTCAATCCACCTACGGGGTCAGCTTTACCACCTACATGGTCTCGGTTCCCTTCACGATCCATGAGATCAAGAGTAGCACCACTACGGGGGAAAGCTTTGCAGGGTTCATGGTACTGGACTCCGCCTGCCAGCGGACATGCTGTGGGGAGATTTGGTTCGAGCACCACCAAAAGTTTTTGAAGGACTTCAACATGAGTTGCCACATCATCCCCACCAAGGACATGTACCAGTTTGGGAAAGGTGACCCTACCATCGCTTCGCGTCGTGTGTACATGCCCACTGTTTTCGGACACCACCCATGCCTTTTGGGAGCTGGGTTGTTGCCGGAAGACATCCCCCTGCTTGGTTCGAATAGTTTGATGGACAAGTTGGGCACCATCATCGACCTCCCGAGCCGTACAGTTCGTTTTTCGAGTTTGGATTGCACAGTTGAACTGCATGTGAAGTGTGGACATTTTTTGTATTCCATTGTTTGAAGTGCCTCACCACCAAGACGTTCATGAGTGGCATGTTTGGAAACAGTTCACCTCACCAGAGCTCTGGCATGATCCTGATCCAGAACTTTTGTTGCCGCCGGAGCCCATGACAGATCGTGTGACCCAGGTCACTTCAAATTCGAAGCCCCCCCGGCCATGCAGAGCACACCGGCACCATGGCTCATCCACTGGCGACGGATGGTTGGCCGCCTCATGAAGTTCAAGAAAGGTGTGTGGACCGCGATGGCTGTAGCGGTGCGATTGGGCATCATGCCCAAGACTTGGTTGAACGAGGCAAGGACAAGTGCGACCACAAGGACATCAAGCGCTACGGGAACATGCACGGCCGGTACGGCAAATGCCGGAAGTGCCTGAGGACTTGGAAGTGGAACGCAGGTCGAGAAGAATGGGAAGTATGGGTTGGATCGGTCGGCTACTCTGCACGATCGTCGCCATTGCCACTACCGCCCTCCAACAAGGAGAAGGACAAGACAGCTCCCAAGGCTACAGCAATAAAGAGCAAGGCGAAGCCCAAGATCAAGCGGAAGACAGTTTCCAAGCCAGGAACTTCCTCTTCAGCAGCCTCGACATCCACGGAGACCCGCTATTGGACCGACTTCCGGGCGGAGTACGAGCTCAAGATGGACCACCTCACGCCGGAGCAGGACTACGAGGTCTACCAGATTTGCGAACAGGGCTCACCCCTGGACAGAGAGCCTCACAGCTGGGCACACCACGCGTTCCTCTTCGAAGAGGGCTTCAAGGAGGACCGCGAGAAGCTGGAGAGGGATGCGAATATCATTCGAGTCCGTCGCATGGTGGCCCTCGGCGTGATCCCGGAAGAAGTACTATGGCAGATCGAAGACTGGGAGGAGGAGAGTTTGGATTGGGGCCTGGTGGACGACCTCGAACTGACCACCGATCCGGCACCTCTCACTCCACCATGAAGCCCGGAACGGCAAAGAGGTTGCGAGGCGACATGAGACGAGCTGCTCAGGTCTACATCGTCGAGAATGACACCTACCTGGCACATCATGCTGCTCATCGCCCACCTCCATGTGTTGATCTATGGGAACTTTTTGCTGGCCAGGCGAGAATGACGGAACTAGCCCAGGAGTACGAGCTGAATGCCCTTCAGCCTATGGACCTTCGTTTTGGGCAGGATTTCAAGGATGCCTCAACGAGGGACTACATCATGCACAAGATCAAGAAGTTCAAGCCATGGTTGATCCCTATGGGAGTGGACTGCCGCCTATGGAACCAGTTCTCCATCAACTTGAATTGGTCCTCTCCAGAACGGCAGGAGCAACTTCAAGTTCTTCAGCAGCAAGAACGACTCCTCGTCCATTTCGCAACGGACGTCGCCAAAGAGCAATACATGAATGGGCGCTTCTTTCTCATTGAGAACCCCCTCAGATCTCGCCTATGGCAAGAACCAGCACTTCAAGAACTTCTTGCCCTACCAGGTGTCTGGTCGACGACCCTGGATGCTGGCGCCTACGGTGCCGAAGTTGACGGACAACCCATATGCAAGCCTATGCGATGGGTTGGCAACGCACCTGGCATGGACCTCGCCCTACATCGACGTCTAGATCACCTTGAGAAGCAGTACTGCACTCCAGTTCAAGGAACATTGACAAGAAGGAGTCAGGAGTACCCTGACAACCTATGCCGGCAGATCTTGCAAGAGCTACGAGCAATTGCTTTCCAAAAGGAGCCCACTCGTTTCGGCCGACCTCTACACCACGTCCTCGCAGTCTCCTACCCGACTACGGACCTGGACGCTTGGAACGACGTTGCCAACTACATCTCCGGAGCTTATGAGCGTTCCAACAAGAGGCCATTTGAAATCCCGCTGGACACCGAGATGGGCAGGAACATCCAACAGCTCTTTCGGGTCAAAGCCATTAAGATCCAAGCATGCTTTGCCCCTACTTGTCGAAGGATTCCTTCAAATGTTGACGAGTACTTCACTCGTGCTGCCTTTCTCCAGTACATGGACAAAACACGGGCAGTCGAGGTAGAGGACCTCGACGAGATCCAATTCCCAAGACAGCGGTTTGACAAGCCCGTGGAGATAGCTGTTTTCGCATATGGTTTCAGGATGATGGCACCCGAACATCGAGAACAAGCCCCAGCCTCAAGTGACAAACCTGCTATCGTCCCTGGACTCATGACCGACGTCTCCTTCGATACCAAGGAAGCTCTGGACTCCACGATCAAGAGATCAGTGGCAAGGCTTCACATCCTTCACCACAGGAACTACTACGGTTGTTGGCTTCACAGGGATCAGTCCCTTCCTTGGTCATCAAGGCCGTACAAGGACTGGTTTGTTCGACATGCCGTCGATTGAAGCCACCGCAAGAACCACGACCGTCATCCATGCCCTCCATGATCGCCGGCCAATTTGGCGATGAACTGCAAGCCGACATCTTCTACATCCGCCTCATGACCGGGCAGTCGTACCCGATCCTTGGAGTCATCGACAAAGCTACTGGCTTGCACATGGCCGGACTCATGCCAGACCGGAATGCCGACACAGCGTTCCGCATCTTGGAGGACATCTGGTTGAGACCTTTCGGAGTTCCACTTCTCCTGAGGTGTGACCCGGACCACACTTTTCGGGGCAACTTTGAAGCAAGGCTCCAAAGCATGGGTTGCATGGTGGACCATTGCGCACCAGAAGCTCACTTCCAGATCGGCATGGTTGAGAGGCGAAACGCCATCTTGAGACTGACCATTGAGAAGTTGGTCGACCAGTTTGCTGTGACCACACAAGAACATCTCCCCGGCATCCTCATTGGTGCCTGCCATGCCAGCAACAACATGGCTTACTCTCGAGGCCGCTCAGCGTACCAAGCAGTCTTTGGAAGACAACCTCGCCTTCCCAATGACATCCTTACGGATGACAAAGTCCTCTCAAGTTCGACTCAGGCCTTCGACGAGAACTATAACCCCAAGCTTCGAGCAGAACTGGTCAGATGCGAGGCACAAAAATGTTTGTTGGACCTCAACGCAAGTCAACAGCTGAGGAGGGCATTGTTGAGGAAAACTCGCAATACTGCGATTCCTGATCTCCAACCTGGTCAACGTTGCGCTGTCTGGCGTTGGTCGAAGAGAGGAGTCAGGAAAAGAGGAGCTTGGCTGACTGCAAGATTCCTGTCTTGGGATCCTGGCCACGTCGGCAAACAGGCGTGGGTGAGACTGGGAGCCTCGACCACTTTGGTGACGGCAGAGCAGCTCCGTACAGCCCACGGCTTCGAAGACTGGACTCCCGACCAGGAAGACATCAAGGCTCTGAAGAATGCTGCTGACTCATTCACCCAGCACATGCTCGAGGACGAACGAGGCGAACCACCGCCAGAACAACCCCCAGAAGAGCTGGCAGACATGCCAGTGGAGTATGATGGCACTCCACCGCCTCCAACACCATCAATGATGGTACCAGCTACACCAGCAACGGCAGCGCCAGCAACGCCACCACCACCAGTGGCTCACCAACAGGCAACGGCTATTCAAGTACACATCGATAGCCCTACTAACATTCATCACCAGCACACCACGGTGCACCAGAGATTTGGGGATCTTCCCAAGTCACTCTCACGATCCCGACGACAACACGGACCGTACACAAAAGGTCCAACATCATCGCAGGCCGCTTCACCCCCTAAGGAGGTTAGAACGCAGCCGGATGACTTTGCACTGGCTGATACATCAGCACTTGCCTCGGCAGCCACACTCTTGGCACCACAACATTTGGCAGACAATGCCATGGCCGTACTGGGCCATACCACACCGCAGAGCGAACCGTTTCACCAACCAACATCGGCAGAACACCTGCCTGCTGTTTCTACTGCATCCCCCTCATCGAGAGATGTCAGACCTCATGCACTACATCAACAACAGCATGACAACAGAGACACAGAGACAATGACAGCAACAGCGGCAGCGGCCGAAGCACATGGCGGAAACCTTCAAGTTCCACCACAATCGGCAGAATTACATGGCACACCTGTTGAACTACCGCCAGAGACACAACAAGAAGCAATGGAGCAGGAGGCCCTGCCAACGCTTCCTCAGAAGCGACCATTCGACAGCATGCACACACTGGCATTCGAAGCAGATGGCACAATCACAACAATGAACCCGACATGGGGAGGCACACCACCACAAGGGTTCGGCAAAGCAAGCTGCAGATTCCACAAGATATACTTAACCACACAGCAAAGACAGCAAGACGTCGACGGAACCGACAAACCAGCACATGAGTCAGACACCAGCGCAGACTCAGACACATCAGCAGAAGCACACCAGCAAAACACCCTCAGCAGAAGCATGACACGACAAGAAGCCAAGCAACTCGACAGGGAAATCCCCTGGAGACAGATAGCAGCAATGCCACGTCCTTACGTGGAAAAGTTCTTGGACTCCATCATCAAGGAGGCCAATTCCTGGTCTGAATGGAGGAGCGTGAGACCTCTTTCTCATGAGGAGGCGCAGAAGGTGCTCCGAGACAAGATCCTCTCCAAAAGGATCCTGAGATCCAGAGCCTGCTATCGTGACAAAAATGTCGGTCAAGGCGAGCTGAAGGCAAAATGCCGTATTGTATGCCTGGGCCATTTGGACCCAGACTTGGAGTTGCTGGACCGTTCGGCCCCCACTCCAGGCCGTACGACAGAGATGCTCATGTTGGCCATGATCACGGCCGGAGCCAATGGCGAGCTGTTCGAGACCCAGCTCAAGTGGCACGCCTGGACTGCAGACGCAGCCACGGCCTTCTTACAGGGCCAACAGCCTTCTGAAAGACCCATGGAGCTCTACATGTACCCTCCAAAAGACGGACTCATCGAGATGACGCCATGCTGGTCACACCCTTTGTACCAAGTGATGGGCAACGTGTACGGGCTAGCAAATGCACCAGCTCTATGGTGCAGTGAAGTGGTGGCACGACTCAAGCAGCTCAACTATACTCGCCACAGCTTTGACCCTATGCTTTTCATCAAGCGTGAAGGTCAACAGATCGTCTCCATGATACTGGTGTACGTAGACGACTTCATTGGAGTCTACAGGAGTGGTTACCCCATCGAAGAGGTCAAGAACGCCTTTGCTTGGGGCTCCTTCCATGACCTCTCCAAGCAGGTCGTGACCTTCAAGGGAAAAGAGCTGCACTTACACCAGCTTGCAAACAAGCGCTGGAAGCTCAAGATCACTATGTCCAAGTTCCTCAACGGACTGACACCAGCCAAGCTTCCAAAAGGAAGGACTTCAAGTCCTCCAGAGCTCACACCAACGGAACAACGTGAATTCCGATCGGTGTCAGGTTGCCTGCAATGGGCATCCACACAGTGCAGACCAGAGATAGGAGCGGCGGTAAGCCTTTCAAACCAGGGCAACGAAACCACCTGCCATAACCTCAAGGACCTCTACGAGGCAATGAGCTTTTTGAAGAACACACCGCACGAAGGACTTCTCATGCAAGACATCCCCGTGAACACCAAGACGGTGATCGTCACCTACAGTGATGCCTCTTGGAGCAATGCCGCTCGCAGCGGATCCCAAATCGGGATCATGATCGGACTGTGCCCACCTGAGGTTCGATCTATGCCGACAAGCTTCACTCCAATAGATTGGAGATCGTGCCGAGCGGCGCGAGTATGTCGGTCCACACTGGCCGCAGAGGCTTCTGCAGCCGACGAAGCAAGCGACCGAGCTGCATACGTGAACATGACCCTCAGTGAGATCCTATTCGATGGCCCGGCTCACCGGTTGGGATGCCGAGTAGACTACGTCCAGACCACGGACGCCAAATCGCTGTATGACGCCATTTGCAGCGAGGCACCAAACCTCACGGACAAGCGCTCGCTTTGCAACGTGCGGGCGATCCAGGAGACAGTGGACAAGTCGCGGATGCACTGGCTCCCTTCGAACTGCCAGTTCGCTGATGGGCTGACGAAAGTCAGCGAGCTGCTGCGGACCACCTTCAGAAAGTGGCTGAATGCACCTTTCAGCATTTTGCTGGACCATCCGGCCAACGAAGGCCTCTTGAGCGGAATTGCCAGTTGTACCAAAGAAAAAAAGACCAGTGAGAATTTGAAGCCACCCGATTGCCATGTTGGTACAACCGACTCCTTTCATGCTCAATCCTAGGGATCCCTGAGCTAACGCTCTTTGCACTTCGCCCTTTCGCCTGCGGTGAAATGGCGCTTGGACTTTGAGAGCTTTTGTTTCTCTCGACCTTCGAATCGGTCGTTGACAAGAAAAACTGATCCACCACCTGGTCTTCCCCCCACAAAAAAGACGCCTCCCATGACCCCTTCCTTCGGATTCCCTTCGGATTCCAGGTGCTTGCCTTGAGAGCCACGCGCACCGGGCCCGCGTTGACCTGGCCCTTTGGCGAACTCTTCGGCGAACCGGAGACCGAGGGTAGGTCAACCTGAGGGTCCAAGCTGCGGATGGGGATGGGCAGATGTGGGCAGTACAGTTGAGTTGCGTTTTCACAGCCCACAACTCGTGCTGATTGCAAGGCCATATGCTTCGACCACGGATGACTGTGAGTCACTCGGCAACGAGATGATTGGATGGACCGACGAAGGTCTTCCACCATTCCGATGCAGAATCTCTCTCTCTCTGTCTCTACCAGGGCCACCATTCGAGATGCCCTTCGGGGTGTCCGTATGGTACCCCCTTGTGGGTCCTGATAGTCGACGTTTTTTGGTCAGTAGAGTCCAGTAGAGTCAACATTAGTTGGATCTTTTACTCCATGTATTGATGGACTGCCATGACGGGCTCTTGGAAATTCACCTCTATATAGGCACGCCGAGTCTTGCAAGTGGACCCGAACACACTAACATGCCCAAAGCAACATTGCTAAACACAGAGGGCTTGAAGGTCACCCCAGGTATCCCCACCAGGTTAGATAGTTTAGGGGTAGTGAGACTGGTTGGGGGCAAGCGGCAAGAGAACCTTTGTCAAGGGTCTTCTGGTGAAACAGTTTGCGTCTCCTGCGTAGAGATCCTTTGCGCTGGACTCCAATGCACAGGATGTTGAAGAAACCGCTTGAAGTGATGGAGAAAGTCTTCACTTCTCCGCAGAAGTGCCAAAGGACACGAAGCGCGGCCTGGAGATGACCAGACTTCGGGAGCGCCCTCTTAGCCATCTGACATGCTCCCCGAGCACTGGAAGCAAGCGATCGAGTTGAAGGAGATCATCAACAAGACTTGGGGCCTGTCAGCGTTCTCCTGAACTACTTGCCACACCATGCTGGCTAAGGCCCTTGAAGGCTTGCAACTCCAGGTGACCCTTGTTGAACATGGAACCCATTGACCGAAATGCCGGGCCAAGGCGGCCAAGGGTGTTCACGGTCTTCAATGGAAGTCGAGAAGTAGTGCATTCCTCTCGACACCTCGTCAAGAGGTCCTGATAGACGCGTGCCTGAGACGTGTACGCGAGCGTACAAGAAACGGGGATTTGCCTGCATGACATGTTTCTGTTGGCGGTTGTGTGACCCTCCGCCACGGGTTTTGCTTGGCTGTGTTCTCTTTTTGACCCCGCCCTCTCCTTGTTTGTTCATTGCAGCCTTTAAAGTTACAGGAAACTTGAAGGTGGTTGTGATTTCCTGAGCCTGAATAAACCCTCTTGCACTGCTGTTTGAGCTGTGCTGGTCCAGGTCGCTGTTCTCCCCACACCAGTGCCTGCGAGTGCGTCTGGCACGCAGGGATAATAGGCATATTTTCACTTGTGTTGCAGTTCTTCTTTTTGGTTTGTTACGGTGCCCCGGCCTCCCTAATCAAATGTTATAAGCAACACTCATGGCATATCATCATGCTGAAGCTTCTTTTTTTTTCACCGCTCAGGAAAGCCACGGTCATCGTCCAACAACCCTCCTCGACTTTAGTGCCTTGGTCGATCCGAAGAAACACCGGATGTGACACCGGAGGTCCTTCTTGACCTTGGCGTTGATGTGGTTCCGGTTCCTTCCACTCAAAGACCAAGGAGCACTCAAAGACCAGAAAAGGGCCAAGACTGTCGGGTCAGGCTGCACGGGGAGATCTTCGCCCCCGGATTGCCCCAGACCTCATCGCTGGGACGACTGTGGGGTCCACCCCTCGTTGCCCCAACGCCCGGGGCATCATGCGGCGAAGGGGCTTTCCAAAACGGATCAAAACGGTGCTGCGGTTCTCACATAGTTATATAGTTGGAATTGTTCCGCTGAGTCGTACCACATGTGAGAGAGCATCAGTTGCTCATGCTGTTCTAGCAAGTCGGTCATGTCATATCGTGCAATTTTATCACTTGTTTTCTAGTAAGGATGCCCTCAACATCCCCCGACCAACCATGGCGATACGATATGAAACTTCTATGGCGCCTCAAGCCATCTTCAGGCAGAAACAAAGTACATCAAAGTACGCACGCTTTGCACCAATCATATTAGTGACTTTCCGCAGAGTTCCGACTTTCTCTTCTTGTTCCAAGCCCGAACAGTTTCAAAGAACTCACTACTCCACCCGGCGGGGCCAGGTCGTTGAAACTGAATCACGTGAATTGGCCCCAGCCGTGAATTTCCAAACTTTCAATATCAACCATGGGAGATTATATTATTCAAATACTACAAATTGATTATGTTGTTATAGTGTAGGGGGATCCTGATTTGTAAAGTGGCATAAAACCCTCCACAGTTCTTGATAAATCATCTCCGGCCCTTGAATTGTTTGGGACTGTTTTTGTTGGTATTGATTCAATTGTGCCTCTCCCGTTTCTCTTTAAACTGACCAACCACCACCACCTCCACCACGATGGTTCCTATTGATATCCGTTTGTTTTTGTTGGGGTTATGTGATATTGATCAATTTTTGTCCTATTGTTAGTTCATGTTTGGTCCAGGGAATCTGCACTGCTGTTTTGTCACGTGTATTGCCAACAGCATTGTTTTAGAAAGGGGGTGGTTCAGGCACCCGTGCAATTCATTTACATGAGTTGTTTAGAATGTTTTTTTCAATAACATTCACGACTGAATCTGTCATTTGTTTTTCTTTAGATTTCCTCCTGCTTAGCACCGGAACAATTGCAAATGGCAACGGACAGGAAAGGCTGTCCAATTTATCTCCTCTAAAACAAACAATTTCTAGACCAGACTTCCTGTATTGTGTGTTTTTACATGTTTTTACTTTTTGTGGAGTCATTTTTTTCAGACTATATACTTCCTCCATCGTTTGCTTCTCCACATCAAAAGGTTTGTGTTTCATCGATTTGAAGTGCACTCTTGCAGTGCAATGAGCAGGAGGGCTACCTTTGATGCTGAGGGGGGGATGGACTCAGGAGAGGTCGAACGGAAGAATCAGGGCTGTAGTTCGGCACTGCAGAGTGTGGGCAAAGAATCGTTAGACATGGATTGCAGGAAAGCATATTCGTCTTGAAAGAAGGAATGTTTTGTCTAGGACCAACTAGGAGTACCTGTTTTCATGTGAGAAGTGATTCTTATTCTATGTTCAGGGAGCAATGTATGTAGACTCTGGATCGACAATACAGATACCCCTCTTACCAGAATGGCTTTACATCTCCATGTTTGTTTTTATTCATCAACACACTACATAATTGGACACCGCCGGATCGAGATTCTTGGTTGTACTCCACTTCTTGGGTCCTGGAACTCGAATGGCTCAAATCCTGCCGGTTTGGGACCGAGCCCCACATAAACCAGCACGGAATGAGCGAAGGGTTGTTGAGTGGTAATGGTACTACAGAAATCTACAGAATGTATATTATATGATATAAGATATAATTGATTAGTGGAAGCCTGAGATTCTGAGCTGCACAGTCTTTACCTGCATAGTTGCTCTTCGACATTTGCCCGCCCTGTGTGCACGAAGCCTCTTCCGGCGTGCATCCTCTAGGGATGCCGGCGCCTCGTCCGCGCACACAATTTTGGTGCTGACATTTTGCGGCGTTGAAAGCAGGGCACAAGCTAAAATGGGGGCTGTGCTGACACATAACCACAGCTTCTTTGTAGGACTTCTGCCATCCTGGACTCCTTGCCGACTGTACATCAAACAACCACCCATGTTTTGCCAAATTGGCCATGTAAGCAATGGAAGTGTGAACATCACCCCCCAAGGACTGGCCTGGTACCTTAAATACTTATCCTGATCCCATTTCGGTCTGGAGGGTTCAGGACCCTGACAACAAGCTGTTGGAGGGTCCGACCATCTTTGTGTCCTGAGCAGGCCCCCCGGCTGGGTCCTTTTGCTTTCAGAGCGCCTATATAAATCCGTCGGCACATTTGGTGGGCAAAGCCTGCTGATGCTAGTTGCATTGCTTATAAAGGTGGTTTGTAATGGTTTCTAAGTGCCACTTCCCTAGGAGTCGTTGGGCCCTTAATATCATAACCCATAGCCCTTTATGTTGGAGGGCCTGGATTCTTAGCTATACGGTTGGAAGCACAACCTTTCAATTCCCTTTAAAAGAATCCCAACCATCAGCGATTTCCCATCACAAAGGGTTTCCAGGCATGGGAACGCATGGGAAGATGTTATTGATTGTATAATGTTGTAGTCTCAATGTATTGAAGATATGTATATTATCAGCAATACATGTCAGTAATTACCATATATATATATATAGCTATAGTGCTTTTATCCAGGCCTGATTCTTAAGCAAATACAAGTCACTTGTGGCTGAAGAGCCACGTGCCTGAAGAGTCGAACTGTTTTGAAGAGCCGCGGGTTACCCGACGGATGGGAACATAGCAACGGCCTAAGAGCGATGGCCTCCAACCTACAACGTTTATGTGTGTTAAGGCCAGGAGCCCCTAGTAGCGTCCTTGTTCCTAGTAGTAAGGCCAAGAGCCCCTAGTAGCGTCCTTGTTCCTAGTAGTCAGGAAGTTCACTTCACACAAATAGATGGATCAGATGCTTTCTGGTCATCTCTACAGCTTGAGAAGAAGGTCTACAGCTTTGTTTCAGCTTTGAACCGGTCACTACACCATCCTCCCGGTCTTCCCAAAAGAAAAAGACTTGAAGGCATCCTTACTCCGAATCCTTGGGCGGGTACTCCGGACTCCCAACCGGCGGGTACTCGTGGCTTTGGCATCTTGGGCGCTTCAGTGCCAACCCGCTGGTGGCGGTGAGTGCCGCACTGGACTGGACTGGTGC